TATATATATATATACACCTAATAAAAAAACGTTGTTGGTGAAAGGTAATAACATCTCAAAGACTACAAGGAATCTTGGGTACCCAGAAATTTGAGCTTTAGCATATTACATTATAACATTACTTTTTAAAAAAGGTCATTTTACTCAGTTCAGGCAATCTCTAGGTTCTGAGGCATTGCTATACTCATTTGCTTTCCCATGCTCTTTTTTGGTCTTAGTTTTATGATGTAATCTAATTGGTTTTATGATGTAACTAATTGGTTTTATGATGTAGCTAATTGGTTTTATGATGTAACCTAATTGTTTGGCAGTGATGGTTAGGCAAATGTAAACTTCTTTTCCTTTAAGTCTACTTTATTCAGACAGCTTCCTACGATTATGTCGGCGTAGGCTATGTTTGAATTTTTGCGAGGTCCTCTGGCCTATCGTTACTCAGTTTACCTCAAACGCTCCAGAAAACTACTGCCCCTCACTGAGCCCGCGCATCGCCCTAAATACTGGGGAACCCCGCCCACAATTCCCGGGAGACGGGAAGACAGGGAACCCACGCACTCTACACAAATAGGAATGGATATTAGGATGCCTACCTTCTGTCGCCCTCCAAACCCGGTAACTTAAGCTCCTCAACACTTGGGACATACCAGAAACTCCCTTGCAGGGGCTCCACAGCACTAATCAACATATCGAGCGTTGTGTCGCCCGGTTTGGCTTCATCGGTGTTCCCTGCAATATTCCTCAACAGTGTATTGATCGTGTTCTTATTGTTACAGATCTGTAAGTACATCACACCCTCTTCGCGGCCAGGGTGATTCTCAACATCACCATATGCCATAGAAAAACGAAAGATTCGTGGGTGTCGCGCGAGGGCGTTGACGGGTGGTACTTTGTGGACGACGTGAGCGCGTTTAATGTGAGCCTGTACGTCATCGTGGGGCAATAGAATATCTGTARTACATCGTCTGCCAATCATTTCTTCTTTTTGGATCTGTAATATGGTAGCGTATGAAATGGATGATATGCATGTTTTAATTTGGAAATTTTCTAACTGTCAAATTAAAAAACTCAGTTTTTAAAATACTTTATGAARCAGACACTTTCCATTTTCTTACTACATGAATACAGCTATTTCAGAAAACTCTTAATGCAGAACTGTTATACTGCATTGTGGCTAATAAACTTCACTTTAGTAGCGTTACAAGATGACAATGATTTCCACATTGAGTTCTCTTCTTTGTGGAGCTGTTGTACTCACTCTGAAACCATTAACACTTCTTATGACCGGAGATTGTACGACCGATGACAATGAATCTCGGTCTTAGGTTGCAAAATCCAATTCAGTATTCAGTGTTTAAAGTTCTCTGAAATAGCTGAATATGCAAGTAATTAGATGACAATATAATAAAAAAGAGGGGGTGAAGGACTTATGCGCCTACTGGCGCGAAGAGTTATGATGGTGATAATAAAATACTTCAGCACTAACCGTTCTCATATTTCCAAGTATTGTCCAGTTAAATTTAAACTTCTGCGTCACCAAATAAGTAGACCCAGGGTAGCCAACCGTTGATCCTTCGTTCTTCACGATGTAGGTCTTCAAACTTTCTGGATCACCGGGATTTATCAGTCCCTCTGTAAACATGTTGTGTATAACACGCTGAAAAAGGCATTGGGGCATATAAATAATGGAAATCTTCATCACCACATGGAAATGCTGTTTTTGTGTACGTTTTGTCGATAATTAGTATTTGCAAGCATATGACAAACAGACYATTTCTGTAATGACTCGTGTCGCGCAAAAATTGTTCGATTGTTAATTTACAGATTTAACACTGATTAGTAAATGGAAACAATGTCATTTTGAAAGAAAAGTATCACTGGTAGTTTATTCACCTTGTCAGATGTTTTTGAATATGTAATGTCAAAGGGACCGCTGTATTTGCTCATTCTGTCCCTAAGGTACCCGAGAGCATTTTCTAAATCAGCTTCCACGTCTGACTTCAGCACAAAATACACATCTCCTCCGGTGTCAATGAATTTTGCCGAGGCATTGACCAGTAAATCTCCTTCTCGATGGTCAAGCCCTTTTAGCTTAGCATCATTCTTGAACCATTTACTCCACTGATTTGGATTAAACGCCACGATGGCTCTTGTTCGATATACTGTGCCACCTTTACGAATATGAAACAATTTATAGTGTTACAGAGAATCAGAATCAAACATGTACCTTTCTTGAAAATCAATCTCACAAACCTTCAGTCTTTCTGTCAAGTTTCTGTGCATAGTTCACTACGTCAGCAGCCGTTCCCACAATTCCATCGCGTACATTATCGTCATCTATCTCAATGTCTGCCTTGTAGCGAATATTGACAAAAACCCCAAAGTTTGGTTTAGCAAAGAACAAACCTGGTTGAGTCTTACAGAGGACCGGATCTTGCGCCATTCCTTGCACTGAGATCTGGATTAAATGAAGAATGCCGTCTAAATTATTATCATTTTGACTCATATTCCAAGTATATATAAGATATATCAGAAACTATGGGATATCATCGCCAAGTTGTCTAACACTAGTACTTTTTGATAAAACAATATTGGCGATGACATACTATAATTTCTGATGGATTTTATAGCGGAGCTCCCGCGCGGGCCGAAGGCCCGCGCGCAGCGGAGCACCATAACTAAGGAAAAATGGTAAACCCATGGGGTTGAGTTTTGATCAACCGACACAGGAAGCCCAGTTGTCCTTCCGTACGTCCGTCCGTCCGTCCGTCCGTCCGTGTACATCGCGATTGTGATTGGCTACTTTTGAGAAGGCGGGAAAAGGAAGCGCGCTCGCGTCAATTTTTGAAACAACTTTTTCACCACAACGACGACACAACGACTCCATTTTTGTCCTTTGAAATACTTTACTTCTGCGCCAAATGTCGGAAAATCAACGGGYAAATAACGGAAAGCGATCTTTATCTGAAGAGGAACAGACAAGAAGAAAGAGAGCGTCGAAGAAGTCTAAGTGAAGAATAACGCAGGCTTGAAAGGGAGAGAAAACGTGATAGACGAAACAATTTAATAAAGACTCAAGCAAATCGAGAAACAAGTGATTCGACGCCAAAGACAACGATTATTGATGGAGAATTTCTCATAGTAGAACTGACATATTCTCCGACGATACCGTGGCGTTATTAAACAAATGGCGGTATGTTAGATTATAAGCTTACATGCAAGCGGTTTTTGGTGCTCAATTA